GTGCCACCGTGCTGCGAGTATATAATTATTATAATATAATCCAGTGCGCCTAATGGTCTGAAAAACACAGTACTCATTAACAGTCAGCCCTTTCATCTAAGATGTTCCTGACTGTAAGCCCATGTTTTGTGGATGGTGTCTCTTTAGGTGTTTTTTCAGGTTGCTGGGGTCAGAGAACTTTTCGGGGCAGAGCGAGCACTGGTACGGTCGCTCCCCTGTGTGGATGTTCCTGTGGATCTTCAAATTCCACAACTGGGAGAAGTTTTTACCACAGATGGTGCAGCCATATGGCCTTTCTCCAGTATGGGTTCTCATATGAGATTCCAAATTTGCTGGAGCAGGAAACCTTTTCCCACAGAAACTACAGACACAATCCCTCTTCGTGGGGTTTTTTGGGCCCTGACTTGGACCTGGGAGCAGATACTGTTGAGACCCCTGGACTGACAGGTGTCCTGCTTGCGTCTGACTTGACACCTGACTTGGGCTGGACTCATCTGACAGATCAATAACAGGAAGCTTCTGCTCAAAGGGATAAGTGGGCACCTTTCTAGTATTCTCAGCAGCCGATCCGCTCCCAGAGCTGCCAGGCTCTCCTCCAGTGAGTGTGCCCGGCAAGTATGAGAGTGGAGCGAAGTGTGAGGACAGCCCTGGAAGGCTCTCACTGTAACCGCCCCCCCTATCAGTCCACAGCGAAGAATGGCCACAGCTGACCTCTGAGAAGCCCCGCCCAGAGTCCTGCAGGTCGGCCAGCCGATTGGTGGACATCTGTGTGGTTTCATCAAAGGACAGCACTCCTCTGTAGTCGTCTGTACTGGACTCCACCAACCCTGGAGACAGATTCAGAGTCATGTTGTCACCCAGTAGGGTCAAATGGACTCAACATTCTCACAGGGTTTTCTGGAGCGACAATCCTCGATGTAGGCAAAACATCAGATGATGCAATATGATGACTGACGACTCAGTTCTGTTTTATTTATATAGCACCAATGACAGCAACAGTTGATGTCATCAGTCTGCTGTAGTCGGAGTCAGAACACTGAACGGGTCTGCTCACCCTCCTGTATGCTGAGGCACGGCCGGTTCCGAGGTCGCGTCATCGGCTCCACCTCCTCCACCTTCACCAGCACCACATCTGGCTCCTCATCCTTCTGCCCACACAAAGAAAACATAGGAACTGTCTGATGCAATACACAACATAGAAGATAAAGACAAAATATAAATACCAGTGAAAACTGGACTAGTGAAGTTTATTTAGGCATCAAAGTCACAAAGTGCTGTACAATCACTCAAAAACAATTAATAGCAATACAGAACCATCAATACAGAACCATCAATACAGAACCATCAATACAGAACCATCTCTAAAAGTTGATTCTGTTCATCTGGACGTAGCGTTTTCTGGGAACCATGATAAAACAAAACAAAAATAAACACAAACGTAACACTGGTCGCAGCAGATGGCCCCGCCCCTCCCTGAGCCTGGTTCTGCTGGAGGTTTCTTCCTGTTAAAAGGGAGTTTTTCCTTCTCACTGTCGCCAAAGTGCTGCTCATAGGGGGTCATATGATTGTTGGGTGTTCTCTGCATGTATTATTGTAGGGTCGACCTTACAATATAAAGCACCTTGAGGCGACTGTTGTTGTGATTTGGTGCTGTGTAAATAAAGTTGAATTGAATAACTCACCAAAGGACGTCAGGAGAAAGCCGGATTACACAGAAAAGGTTTGAACTGTTCTTTGAAAGACTCCACAGAGTTGACTGAACAGAGCCGGGCAGGTAAACAGTGTCGGTGCTACAGACTCTGTGCCGCCCAGGCTTCAGTCTTATACGAGGAAAAACTACTAGGTTTTGAGCTCGTGAGCAAAGACAGCAGACAGCAAGTATTTTGGAGCTTGTGTATGTAAGTGTGAGAATTTGAAAATCTAAAATCAACTGAAAGCCCCTGAAAATTAATAAAAGGGTCATGTGAACTTGCTAGGTGCAGCATTTTGTATGACTGGGAGGCGTGAAAGAGACGACACGCATAACCTGGTAAAAAGGTGTTACAGTGGTCCAGGCACGCTGACGCATGAACACTACAGCTCAGTTTAGAAAGAGAAGAAACAGGACACATCGAGCCTGTACATGTGAGCCAAACGGGTCTTCACAGAGGAGCTGATTCTTGAATACATATCAGCAGGAGCTATAATGTAGCCTCAGTCTCGTTGGAACAAGAATATATATATTTATTATTTATCACAATCCTGGGATCAATAGTGAGCGGTGTGGACAGCCTATCCAGCTGCTGAGGCTCAAACATTTGTCTGCGCCACAGAAACAGAAACACCAGAAAAGGAAAACAACAACGGCCCCACACTGAACCTGCTGAACCCCACAGGTTAGAGATGCCGTGTAAAAGGAGAACTTGCTCACATTAATACAATGTCCTTCCAGATAAATACGGAGAAAACCCGTCTAGTGCTGAGCTGGAGATACCAGCCAAAACACGGAGCCTATTAATATTATGGTAACAGAATCAAACGCTCTGTGGGAGAGACATTCAGTCACGTCCTTCAGGGGGTCCTGTGGGCGGGGCTTCAGGAGTATGTGGTCTGGTCCATTTAGTCCCTCAGAGCTGCAGTGACAGCTTGGTCCGTGCTGCCTGCCTGAGCCGTCCCTGTTGCATGTTGAAAGGTATATTTTTTGGAGGTCCCAAGAGGTCATGTGGTGGCTTTAGCTCAGGCAGCAGAGGTCATCCTCCTCCTCTACTGGAAGGTTGGCGGTGATCCCTGCCTGCTCTAGTTAGTATCCCTGGGCAGGACACTAACTTGCTCTTCAGTGTAATTGTTAGATACAAAGCTCCTAAGCATAGTAAAACTGCTTGAATGAATGGATGCTGTGTACAAATCTTGTGCTCAGTGTAGAGAAGCACTAGAGTAGAGCTATGACCTCTGTCAGGGGGCTTGGCCTCTCTGCCCCGACCTGGGTGGCCAGGGAGCAGGAGATGTGGGTTTTCTGCTTGGCTGCCCCCCCCCCACGAGTTGTTAGAAAATGGATGAATGGACAAATGTGATCTCTGTGTTATTATCACTGATTTGAAGTAACCTCTGCAGTAGGGCTGGGTTTTGATGATCGATTTATTGATTAAAATCGATTCTGGCTTGGATAACGTGAAATCAATTCATTAAAATCCTGAATCGATTTTTTAATATAAATTTATTTTGCCCGAAACGCCAGAATCTCAGGTTAAACCTCACAAAATTTCAACAACCACCAAACAGCTCAAACAGTAACTGAGAGCAGGAACACGGACTCTGCACAAAGACGTAAACACAAAGCAAGGACCCGCCGACGCATCAGAATCAGTTAATGTCGCCTTTCTCACCGACGGCACGGACACGGTCGGGGCTGAAAGCCGACAGCTCGCTGATTCTGATGTTTCGGCGGGTCGAGCTTTGTGTTTACGTCCTTTTTGTGCTGATTCTGAAGCTGTTAGTTTGATCTCTCTCCAAACAATATTGACCGAACCAGCAGCAAAAGAAGATCCAAACTAAGCTTCACATAAACATCGTCATGAATTCACTCTGACTTTTGCTGCCACCATGATAAAATCACACTTCATGCACAGCTCTCTCTCTCTCACAGTTTCCGTCTAAAAATCTGTTTTCTTCATTATTCACTTGCTTGTTACGCACCAGTCTACCGTTGTTTACAGTCTGTCGGACGATGTTTTTTTCCTTTTACTTACTTCCGAAAAGAAAACCTAATTTCTGACGTTCAACACTGAACAAATGTAAACTTTTTAAAATTATGCAAAATTGCAAAACACTCAGCGGTGTCTCTAAAACCTCTGTAACTTTGCTGTTTCACTTCAGCAGCATCAGGTAACGTTCAGATGTTGATTCATGGTTTTCTTTCGTTTTCGATCTACTGCAGAATATTTTTATAAAATCCAGAGCAGGAAAATCTCCTTCATGTTTGTTTTATCCTCAGTTACTTTGACACAAAGGCCTCTGCTGTGACGCTCACACCTTTGATAAAGTCTCACAAGTGTCAGCTTTCTTTTTATAGATATAAAAATATGGTCATGTAGTGATGCATGATCTGACTTATAATATTTCTGACTGTCTGAATCGAATTGAATCGATTCTAGACATCAGTGAATCACAAACCAGCCCCAGTGTGCAGTACAACAGCCGAGGACGCCTTCATGCAGGTGTCAAGGGTTACATCTGATGCTTTATTTATAATTTATCAGCTGTAATGTTTCTGCAGGGTCTGAAAACAAACAACCCAGGCATTTGAGGTAAAGGACAACATTTTATTCCTTAATGAAATGATGAATGTGGAATATTCAGCTCTAAACCAAAACGAGCAAAGCTCTGACTGTAGACTCGGTAACTAATTCAAACAAAGCCATTTAAATCAATTCAACCCAACAGCGTAACAAACATCACTAACTGCTGTCAGCAGTGTTCATGCTTAGCACCGTCTCCCTCCCAAAGGTTAAAACAGCCAGTCTGTATGTGTGACTGTACTCGTTTTAATTACCTGCAGAGTGTTTAGACCGATGCATGAAACTGGACATTTTCAGACAGAGGTTGTAACAGCCGCCATTTTCTTAGTGAGTATTTATTAGACGGCGTGCGGGGAAAAGCCCGCAGCACGCCGCAGAGTGTAGAGAGTCTGAGGTTTGTTTGGAGCACCTGACGGCTCTTTTTGCTCCTCGTCCGTAAACTCTCTCCGTGCTCGGTCACGGGATTCTTGTGTAGGTGTTACGGCCCTGTTTTTTGTTCTGCCCGTCTTTAAGAGTGTCTGCAGGTCCCTGATTGGAGAAGCTGACGGCTGCTGATTGGTCCCCCTGCTGGTCACCAGCAGCTGTCCCGGGGCAGCAGCAGACAGCAGCAGACCCATCCTTGGCCTCCAAACCCTGCGTTACTCGCGTGTGCTCCCGAGGATTGCTGAGCTTCTGTATGTAGTGTGTCGTTTAGAGTCACGTATAAATGGTCACTGAAGCCGAAGGGTGAGCTGCCTTCTTATTTTGTATTATTTTCTCCTGTTTATTCAGTCAGGGGTAGCATTTGTCTTTGGTTTGTTTATCATGTAGGGTTCAGGTAGTACCCCCGTGACTGGTTTAGTTACTTTGGTCTTTGTTCACCTGGAGTCACGCTGCAGTTTAGCCACAATAATCTGTGGTGTGGTTTTGGGGACCAGGGCGGGGTCCCTCTTCTTTCAGCTCATGCTACGTTCCTGTACCCCTCGACAGGGGCGTAACAGCAGGTGGTAGAAGAGCTTTGTCATGTTTGAGTCTGAGATAGAGACCATCATTTTTCTGTGTCAGACTTTTCATAACCAAACCATGTCCGTGCTACAGAGGCGGCCCCTCGGTTACGAATCAGGCCCCCGATTTGTTTCCTTCTGTTTGTCATCATTTCAGTTTATTTTGAAAAATCTCAACAGGATCTTGAGCTTTATTGTGAAAGGTTTGTGTGGAAAATAAACAAGTGGACGGCGAAGCCTCATGCTGGGTTTACCGTCGTTGTTGCTAACGACAACATGTAAAAACAGGCGCGTGTGGTTATTTTAAATATAAGAGAAACAGAGAACAGAGAAGCCTCTACAGTGACCATCAGAACAGGATGTTGCTGTAAACAGTTTATTTTGTGACACCATGAAACAAACGACAGACGTTTTTATATCGCCATCAGAGACATAGCGTCCTATCTTACAGCCTGGGTGCTACGACTGGAGATGCAACTTCAACCTTTTCAATTCAGCCTCCTGAAAATATTTCGAGCATCTTTTTGTGAACTACGATTTGTTTTATTATAAAGTTATTATTCTAGACGCCATGAAACAAAATGCTACGTTGACGTGTTTTTATACAAATCATACATCTATCACATCACAGCGTCTGGCGTACAGACGACGCCTGCATGGGGGCGTACACAAAACCAGCAGAGCGAGAGCTAGGACACTGGACCTGACCAATCAGAGGAGGCCAGGCGAGAGTGGCCTGGCTTTCACAGAAACACAGATGTGGAAACAGCTGCACTCTGCAGTTGTGCTAGTGGCGAGCTGACACACCGCCCTGATTCAATGTTGAGCATCATGTGGGAGGAGTGTAAATTTCACTCGTGTCAAAACAAAGACTGCAGTCGCCGCAGATTTACTTCCCTTCTGTCCAGTGTCTCTCCTGGATCGCTGCACCTGTCACACAAATGCAGCTCATTTACACTCCCAGGTCTGTTCGTTGTAAATGTCCGCGTGGCTCTTTTGTTGGTGTGTTTTCAGGTTTCGTATCCAGGCGAATCCCCTGCCACACACCCCACAGGTGTACGGTTTCTCCCCAGTGTGGACTCGCTGGTGTTTCCTCAGGTTCCCGGCCTCTGAGAACATCTTCCCGCACGTGGAGCAGCTGAAAGGCTTCTCGCCTGTGTGGACACGCTGGTGGATCTCCACTTTCTTGGGCCGGTTAAAAGCTTTGCCGCAGTAGCTGCAGGCAAACAGTCTTTCCCTGCCAGTCCGCGGGAACGCTTTGCTGCTGTCGCTGAAGGGCCGGGGCAAGGAAAACACGTTGTCATAGCGACTCCAGCCATTAACACCGGAAGAAGTTGATGGCAAATCGACGGCCGCCATCGAGTACGAACACGACGGACTCGTTCCTTCCACGTCAACGTTTGAGGGCTCGTCAAAAAACTCCCCGACCAACGAGCGACCAGTTTTATCGATGTCACACAAGACGTCAAACTTGGAGTCGCTGCCGCCATCGTCGATATACCGGTGTGGGATCGCCGCTTCCTGCAGCGAGTCTCTGCCTTCAACAGAAGCAGTGAGTTCACACTTAAGAGGAGAGGAGCCACTGACCTCCACTCCTCTGCCGGGAAGCTTCGCCCTGCACGCCTGGCTCTGCGACTGGGATCGAGTAGACTGGGCGTCCTGGTCCTCGGGGCCGGGCATCTGAGCTTCAGCTCCACGAGGGACACACTCCATCAGCCCTTCAAACAGAGGAAGAAAACAGTTCACCATTACACTCAATGAACAGAGCACTGTTCTACAATGCTAACTGCTAACTGTAGCACGTGTGGACACGCAGCTCTGCACACTCTCAGGGAAAACATGGAGACGACCTTCAGAGATGTAGAACGAGGCACAACAACGTTTCTCCAACGTCTCTGACAGCTGCTGTCGGCTGCTCCCGTCAGAGGAGGAAGCTTCCTGTCGGCTGTTCTTCCTCACCGGGCCAAAAAAAGCTGATTTGCGTCTCCAAGAACCAGCAATCATTCACTTTGTGACTCCATTAACCACCACGCCGTGAAACCTCTGAGGTCTAATATGTTAAATAGATGCTTGTATGAAAATATTTTAGCAGATCTGCAGAGTCTGGCAGGACGATGATGCCGGTCACACCGCCCATCATTACTGAAGTGGGCTCACAGCTGACAGAGGAGCCTGGAGAACTGGAAGACCACGTGGATATCTGAGCTTACAGCCTGAGACCAGAGACTACTGCTGTTCAGCTCTCTGCAGTTTCACTGACACATCTCAGAAAGAAGAGACGTTTTTACCACGACGGTCGAAGCAGAGCCAGAAAAATATGCAAGGAAATGTTCACCGACTCTCACATGAACTTTACTGCTCATCACCACACTCGGTGTGGGAGGAGCCACAGCTGTCATGAAACAACATGTTTGTGTCCTGTTTGGCTTTGTTTTCATGTTTTTGATATATGAGCTGTTCTACAATTTAACTCTTTATGGTCAAACATGTTTGATACAAACAAACAGCTTCAGAGAATAAACCCTGCTGTGCTCTGTTCTACCTCCAGCACTCATGAAACATGTGAACCTCTCTGTTGTAGAAATGATAAAAACTCCTCAGTGCATTGTTTTTGCTGGGATGCGTTTAATGCAGAGCGCAGCTTGTTTACTTTTGTGCCTAAACGCAGACCTGCTGTAGAAGCGCACAACAACACGCAACCGCACAGCAAACCTGAGAGCAGCCACACGCTCGCTGTGTGAGGCTAACACACACTCTCTCTCTCTGATGCAGCAGATCTGACTCTGTCGCTGCTCTTTCTTCCTCCTCTTCATGTAAAACTCCTCCAGGAGGACAGAGCAACGTCTTCATGTCTGAGTTCAGGCTGTACGAGAACAGTTAGAGTTACAAATGTGAAGCTTTGACTTCTGAGGACTCGAATGCTTCAATCCAAGAAACTATTTTACTGAACCTGAACACTTGATCTGTCTGTGCACCAGTCTACACGTCACACCTGTCACTCACTTATTTACTCATTTAGGACGTTTTCTTTAAAAAGTATCATTTTAATATGACACATAAAAGGGTTCAGCTGCACAGATGTTGCACAGATGCTGCACACAGTTACATGACAGTGATGATCTGTTGTGTGTTGTCTCTGTGGATCGGTTACTATTGTTATTATCTGATCATCAGTGGGAATCCCCACACGCTCAGCTGTGTCTGTGTCGGGACCACTCACAGCATTAACCACACATGCATGTGTGTGGACTGTGGGAGGAGCAAACCCACAGAAAAAAGCCGACCCTTGTTCCTCTGAGGCCACGCCTCCAACCACGGGCATGTGCGGTTTAAACTACGACCGATTTGATCGAAGGTGTTACGATTTGTAAACTGTAGCACGGCCTGTTGCGTGGAAATGTCCCAGTGTCAGTACTGTACTCACCATCGTCTCCTATAAGTGACGCACTTTGCTCCGCCTCTTCGTCTCGAGGCGTGGCTGCCGGCACCTTCTCCTCTTTCACCAGCACTGCCTCCGGCTCCACCAACTCCACATCTGGAGACTGCACAGCAACAGGGAATCATCTCTCAGTCGGCCAATAGCAGCTTCACACAGCAGCGTGCACGCTAACCTGTGATGATGTGCCTACCTTACTGTGCACGCTCTCAGACAGGATCAGTTCACCGGCTGCGTCTCCGCTGGGCCACAGGAGCACCTCCCTCTGCTGGTCAAACACGTCACCTACACGACAGAGACACAGCTGTCTTCAAATGCCGATGCACGTTGTTCTCATGTTTGGCTCACATGTTACACTACTGTGAACGCTAACACTGCTCTGTGTCACTGTGAATAGATCCCGCCCCTGCGTCTCTATAGGCCAGTAATGGCAGAGCCCCCCTGTTTATTTTAACCATGATGTGGGTCTGACGGTGTTTGACAGGCAGAAGTTATTTACTGTGTTCAGCTGTATCAACATTTTACCACAGAAACTTTATTTTATTCAATATTTCAATGTTACAGTTCAAACAAAGTATTTTGCAGCCATAATATTCATCTTCCTGTTTCCCCATCATCCCTGTTATTAACCTCTGTCTCTCTTCCA